ATATATATATATATATAAACCTTCATCTAAAAGATTTATTATATAATAATATTTATTATGTTTATATTTGACCAGCCATTAAAGCAATAATGATTTATATTATATTGGCCTAATGATAATAACTTTAATTAATACCACACATAATTCTTTATGCATTTTATTTTACTTTTTAGTACACAAACAGGCTTCTTACCCACACATGTATGCATGTTCTCTACCTCTGACACACAAAAACACAAGGTAATTTTTTTTTTTTTTAGGAAGCACTGTATGACTGAAATTGCCAAAAACATATTGTATAATCCATCACCTGAACAGAATTATGTTGTTAATTTGTTTCCATTTTCTGCTGTAACACCTTTCTCTTGTTTCTCAAAGTTGAATGTTAACAACCACACGTTGTTTATCTTTTAGGAGGGAAAATGTCTTTATGTGGTGGTGCTCATGGCAACGTTTTGGTGCACAGAGGCTCTTCCTCTGGCTGTCACTGCAATGCTTCCAGTCTGCCTTTTCCCGACACTGGGAATTCTTCCATCCAAGAAAGTATGCCCTCAGTATTTCCTCGAAACCAATTTTCTCTTCCTGAGCGGTCTTGTGATGGCCTCGTCCATCGAGGAGTGGGGCCTGCATCGCAGAATAGCCCTGAAGGTGCTCAGCATTGTCGGAGTAAAACCAGCATGGTGAGAAAACTTCATTTAAAGGATGAGTCTGGTTGTTTTCTGAATATTAAAATGTAAATCAAAATCAAAAAGTAACTCCTGCTCAAAAGTATTGTCTGTTCAGCCAAAGCCTGATATAGCTTATGTGTCTTTGCCAAAAACTATTAAAAGTGCATTAATGAGCCAAATAGTTACACTGGGTGGCATATTCTTTTATTCTTTATTCTTATTCTTAAATTGGATCCACATTAGTTTCCACAAAGTGATCCCTAGTATTCCTGGGGTCCTTTTATCATGATGAACTGTAATTTATTCTGAACCTGTCCCACATGCACCATTCTGCAACTGGTAATATACACAATGTGTATTAATCCACAGCTGAAAATGAAGCTGTTTTAGGAAAATATATATTATATTCATATTCATGTGCGTAGTAGACAAGGTAGGGAAGTCGGAAAGTGTTGAGAAACAGGTTTTGGACTTTTCATGGGATTTATAGACAGAAAATAAAGAATATAACTAACCTGTATGTGAGAGTACTCCTTAATCCAAGAAGAACACCTTTCAAGTCAGCAGCAATGATTTGTGTTACAGTTTTGAGATTGTGGATTGAATTGTTTTCCTAGGCTCATAATGGGAATGATGATGACCTCGTCCTTCCTGTCCATGTGGCTCAGCAACACCGCCACAACAGCCATGATGCTCCCTATTGCTAATGCCATCCTGGAGAGTCTGTTCGGAGACCTGGAGACCCTGAAAGAGAAGTGCAAGTCCAAAGATGATCCTGAGGTTGATGTAATAAATGGTACGTTGTATGTTACACAGCTGACATAGAGTATGACCTCTTGCTGAGTGTAATTACCTAAAACCCACAGAGTATTATCACCAGCTTTGGAGTACCAGTTTAGTGTCAGTTAGCTAATTTTATTTGTTTTATTGCAACTTTAATGTTTTGGTTCACTCTCACCACTCTCTTCAACATTTCAGTACCAACAGGCAGCTGTTCAGCACCCAGATAAACCCGCTGTACACTACAGACAGGACCAAACAGACAGACAGACAAAGTTATAGCGACTAGCTGGTGAACAAGGTGCAGCATTTAGCAGTTAATGAGCCAGGTATTTTCCCTAAGGGAAAATAGCTAAGGGAGAGAGGGGAATGCCGGACTAACATTTACCAAGTGGCCAGAAACACGACTCCAAATTAA